GGGGAATTCTGGGGGTTGAAGTCCACCCAGCTTAAAATTGCCAGGGTTGAGAAACACTGCTCTATTCAATGCCAAGAAGCAAATAGGTCCCCTTTGAACCGAGTCTCTGCATCAAAGCTTTGCACAGCCTCCATTGCAGGGAAGATTCTATTTTGCTTCCAAGGTTCTAGCCCTCATGATTAAAGAGCAACCAATTCACAACTGGCATTTGTGGCCGGGAGGGGGGGGAAAAAATCCCTTTTCCTCTCTTCCTCTTCACACAAGAAGATCCCAAACTTGACCCTGAGGGCGCGCCATTTCCAGCACTCTATGCTCGATTTCCTTTCTGTAATATCGTACGGCGGGACTCGCCTTTATCGAGATGAAACTTATTTAAACTGCCCTTTTCTTCCGTGATCACAGGGAGCCTCCAAGCAGCATCCCGGAACGCTCTCGCATCGAAAATCCACTTCTAAAGGTTTCATTTACATAAAGCTGACCTTTTTTCACTGTTCTGCGAGAATTCTGGACGGATCAGAGGGGCCGAGCGAGCGACGGCAACCCTCGGCTGGGTTCACGCACCCCGGCTCCTAAATTAACTCATTTGCTCCGTTTGCACGAGCCGCTGACCCGTTTGCCAGCCAAATGGATTGGGGTTGCAGAGCATGGCTGAGTCACGACCCCTAACTAGGTTGAAAATTAATCAGCCTTTCGTAGATGCTGTTGGACGCCCACGGCCAAGCGGTTGCAAAACATCCTTTTCTCCCCACGGGCGTAAAACGCGGTCCTGCCTTTATGACGGCAACTGAAGTTTCACACTACCGTCGAAAGGCGATGACTTTCTAAGAGCGGCCGTTCAGGCTAGGGCAGGGAGGGTGAACCTTTTGGGCTCGGCGTGTGAAAAATTCAGAAAATGCCTAACTGGACTCACATAGACACACACCCCCCCCCAAACAAAAGAGAAACAATTCTTCACATATTCATTGACTTTTTTAAAAAGACAGTCCCATCCTGTAGGTGCTCTGGATTATACAAAGGAGCATCAAATCATTACGAGAATGAAATGAGTCAGACAAGCTCAGTTTCTTTGGCAACTCAAACCGGTAACCGGAAACTCAGTTTCTTTGGTAACACAAACTCAATAGGTGTTGGGTGTTGGTGAACGCTGGCGTGTCGTGGCGTGTCACCTTTGACACGCGTGTCATAGGTTCGACATCACTGGACGGGGGGAGAGAAGCCATGAGGGGTGAAAAGAGAGAAAGGACGGGCCACGTTTTGAGCTAGGACTATACCAGATGAACATCTCCAAGGGAGGAGACTTCAGACACGCTAGCTAGGTTTCGTCAGGTAGAAACGATATTATCCTGTGCTTGAGCCCTTTCCCAAAACAGCCCACAAATGCCGGCCAGCTGCATTAAAAACCTGGTTTGGCCATCAAGCCCGGGGCCCTGACTGTACGGGAGAGCCGGTTTCTCAGCCACGGTTATGTCACCTAGGGGATGTCACGAGTGTGCTCGGTCGCTATGCTATTTTATGTCATTTATGTTGTTTTAATTTGGGTTTCTTGGGTGGTTCGCCGCCCAGAGTCATGCCTATCAGAAGGGTGGCCGTGGACATTTCCTCAATAAATCAATTCATTTAAAAACAAACCCTCTCATTTGTGGAAATGCCCATTCCAACGGACAAAGTCAAAACTGGTTTATCCTCGTGAGCCGCCTCCAGCTCTTGGCTGCCCTGCCCTGCCTAGCCAGTGGTGGCTTATCCCACAAGCCATGGTTACGCCCACAGACCAATCCTTCCAACCTAGGTGTAGAGCAGTGTTCCTCAACCTTGGGAACTTCAAGCTGGGTGGACTTCAACTCCTAGAATTCCTCAGCCAGCCATGAAGTCCACCCAGCTTGAAGTTCCCAAGGTTGAGGAACACTGGCGTAGAGGTCCAGCCCTGTGAGGAAGCAGATGTCTGCTCTTCCAGCCTAACTAGAAGACAGCGCATCCTTGATTCGAGGACTATCCAATCTTTCTGGGCTTAAAGCCTTACGTTTGGCTACTCACCTTGGCTGGACGCCACGTCTGTCCCTCGGTCAAGACCAGCAGCACCGTGCCCTCTTCCAGCGTCTGGAAAAACTCCTCCGATTCTATGCTGGTGCCGTCTTCGTCCAAGACCACGGTGATGGTCCCCACCAAGAGCAGGGCACTTCGTACCTGCAGCAAGAGATCAGGCTGGGCGCTCTGCCGTTCCAGGGAGAAAGCTGGCGATTGGGATTCGTTCCCAAGGGAGCCTCTGGGTGCCAAGCTGGCTTAGAAAGGAAGCTTTGGGACGAGCGGCTTTTCTTGGGGTGGGGAAGGGGGGCGGCAAGTCCCCTCCCACCGTCGCATACGGCCCGCTGGTCTCCATTTAAAAAAAACAGAGGTTGCGGCCAGCTTGAATTCTGAAAGACTTTAACTTAATGTACTTTTTACGGTGGGAGGTCCCTTCTGCCCACTGCCCAGAATTTGCCAACCCCCAGCTTACTTTTTCAAGCAGGTCGTTCAGGCTCTCGGCCATGATGCCTTTGCGCAGCGTGCGCTCACAGTTGCTCACCCGATACGGCCTGAGACGGGGAGCGGAAGCACTGCCCGACACACATCTGGAAGAGGAAGAAGAAGAATTCCATGGGAAGGGGAGGATAAAAAGCCCCCCTCCTCCGCAAGTTGTGTTTGGACAACCTTCATTCCCATCTCCGCTCTGGTTACTTCCCTCCCTGCCAAGAGTTGCCCCAGCTGTCGTTCTGCAAAAAATCTTGCGTTTTCTCCTTATTTTCACCACCCTTCTGCACTCCATCCCTCTTGGGGAGCTATGACTGAGACATGGTGCTAAGTCATAAACAACCCCCAACTGGAAGAGTTTGTGCGACCCACTAAACCACAAAGCATGGTTTATAAGCCACCAGGGTTGGGTTCACCCAACCCCTTAAACCGAAACTGAACAAGCCATGTTTCGGCTTCATACAATGTGTGAACTCAGCTAATTGTGGCTTGCTTATGGTTTAGTGTATCGGGTGAATCCCGCAAAAGAAGGTTGCTTCAATAGGCCTGCATCCTTTATGTTTTAGAATCCTGGTTAAGTGCAGGAAACTGGCTTCTTTAACAAACACTATGCGGGATGGTGTAGTGCAGTGTTGTCCAAACTTGGCCACTTTAAGATGAGTGGACTTCAACTCCCAGA